AATAGCAATTGTTTTCGCGCTTTCTTGCGTATCATAATACATTTAAACATTTAAATGTATTTACGAAACATTTAAAAATTGTTTATAGTTCTATCGTGAATTTTAAAGTATTACTGACTGATAAAAGTCATAAACAAATTTTACATTAAAAGGTCCTTTTATTTTCATTAAACTATAACCTTTTTTTTTTAGATTTTATTTTTCTTATTGATTTGATTTTTCATAGCTAAAATAACTACCACCCTAAAAAAATATATATATATAAATAAATAAAATATAGGTAATTTTTTTTTTTAATAATATACATTAATTTTTTAATTTTAAAGCACAAACAGATTTCTGTTATTTACTTTAAGATTGCTTGCATTTTTGCGGTATTTTCGTTTAGCTTTGTTTTGGCGCAAATTTTTGAAACGCATAATAACAAAACGTGGTCAGTTAGTCAGAAAAATTTATTTTATGCATGGACAAACAAGGCGTGCGACCGCACGCCTTTCCTGGGAAAGCCTGATATATATATATATATATATATATATATATATATATATATATATATATATATATATATATATATATATATATATATATATATATATATATATATATATATATAAAGATATTATATACTATAATAATATATCTTTGGCTAAACGTTGTTTAATTACTCTGAGTCTGTTTTGTGTGACAGCTTATATATTTTTATGTTACAAAAGTGATTATCAGTTCTCAATTATTTATCTAGAGTTTAGAACATATATCGTACCACATTTATTAGACATGTGTATGGTGCGATTATTTTAGTTATGAATACCATTGATAAACCAGCGGATTTTTATTGACTTGTTTGCTCATAGATCATTGTTTCATCATTTGCTAAAAGATGACTAGAGTGTGAGTTTTGGTTCCTCTTTTCCTGAGTTGCTAACTTTTACTCCTACTAAATAGTCTTTACATTAATTTATGTTTTTTTACCTAAATGACATCATCTTCAATCTGTTTTTATTTTCATTTCTCCCAGGTCTATGTAACTGGACAGCTCCGTTGGTCACTTTTTGCGATCATTGTGTCGCATAAGCAAAAAAATTTATTCTTTGTGGCTGGTGAGCCCCGACTTTTTCCAATGTACACCATAGCGACAAAACGGACATTAGGCCATCCCGCTGGATGTGGTTACGGCGCTCAATAACCTAATGACTACGCTGACACTCATGTACACGTTCAGTCGGAAGCTCCACAATGCACGTCGGATCAGCGCTCACCAACTATGTGCTCGGATCTGGAATCTCACTTCATAGCACATCATTCCACACCAGCACAGGGCAGTAGCTCTTTTGGCTAAGAGTGATGGCTTGTGGCCTACGATGACTAATATGTGCATTCGATCAATTGAAATCAATTCTGTAGGTCTCACGTCTGGCTCTGATGTGCTAGCCCATAAGCGCAAGAAGTGAGTGTGTTTAGCTTTCTATTCACCCGATTTGAAAGTGAACGGACGCATAACAAGACCATACTAGACGAAAAACGGTACGTACTAATGTACTTTTTGCTATGACGGTTTGACCGCAGCTAATTCAAAAAACATTTTAGAAACGCGCTAAATTAAAAATATTCTAAAAAAGTGAAATTAATTTCATCAAAACTTCTTAACAAATGTTTTTATATTAGCAAAATGATTTTAAATAAAGTAATAATTTACTGAAAAAAAGTTTTGTTTTTTAAATATGATTGACAGTTGTGTTTTTTTAATGTAAAACGTATAAATTGTTAAAGTGTTCATTTCTAAAATAAATCTTATTAAAAAATAAAAAATTGTTTTGTTTTTATAAACGATGACTACAAAAGTTCTCACTTTAACGAATTTAAATATAAGAATGATTAAAGTTAATGCGTTTAAAAAGATAAACAAAATTTCTTTAAAAAAAAAAGTTTTGTAAAACCGTTAATATTTAATAAGTTTGATCTTAAATGCTTTTATATTATCGAAACGCTTTTAATAAAGTAAAAAAAAAAACACTTTTAATTAACTAAAAAAAAGTATTTATAAAATGTTTTTTTATTTTATTTATATAACTATGTATTTATTATGAGAAATATTTAACTTTTGAACATATTAAACAAATAAAAAATATATAAAAATGCTGAAACAAAGTTTGAAAAGGTTTTTTAATGCGTAAATTAAATAGACTAAGCATTTTAGTTTGATGAGTTTTGTTTTAGTTGCGTCATATATATATACTTATTTTTTTGTGTTTTTGCTTTAAGTATTTTTTTTAATTTTCTCTTTCGTTAATATTTATTATTTTTTTTAATTTTTTTTTCAGATAAGTTTAGGTAAGTTTTTGTAGCGCGTTTTTAAATTTTAAAAATATGCCGTGGTCAAATCGTTAAAACATTTTTTTTTTGCGTGGTTATATAAAGACATGAAATCGCACGTCTTCCTGTGAAAGCCTGTAATGCACTACACCATCACACCTGTAGACATCAACAGTCTTCAAAATCAGTATATCAAATATTTGTTCTTTTGTTACATATGATCTATACACAGAGTGATTAGAGTGTTAGTTGGTTCTCTCCCTGCCTCCCTAGCATTTAACTTCGTTCTTTACCTTCACCAAAGTCTTATCACTCATTTTATATTTTCTTATGACTTTTATTTTTTATTCAATGACACCATCTTCTAACTGTTTTTATTACCACATCTCACAGGTCTATGAAATTGGACGGCTCCGTTGGTCACTTTTTGCAATCATTGTGTCGCATAAACAAAACTTTTTTAAAGTTCTAATAATGTTATATATATAACATATATAAAGATATTATATACTATAATAAACAAAAGGAAGATAGTTTTTTAAGAAGTTTAAAATTTCAATAAACATCAAAATAGCAATAAAAAAATTTTTTAACATGTCATGCTAATATATTTAAATTATTAATGTGCTTAGGTAATAAACACACATTAAAGAGACAACTTTTTTCTTATAGGAAGTAAGATTTTACATTCAAACTTTTATTTTCTTCAAAATATCTAATATATCCTAATAAGCTGCAGATGATCTGGAAAAAAATTTAATAAAAACCTAAAGAATCTTGATAGAGAAAAAAATTTATAAGTCTGTACCCTTTTTTTAAGTTAAGCGAAGTTTTTTGTCAAATGGACCCTAACAAACTGTATGAGTTGGCAAATGGTTCATTTAATAATACCAGGGAACGATTAAGCAGATAATATGATAAAGTTCATGGAATTTAAAAAAAAAACATGCTGAATTTAGCTTTCAAATAAAAGAAACAAATATAAACTTTTTGTTTGAATTTTTTTCATGTGAAGTCCGGGTAAATCAGACAAAAAAAGCTTTGGTTTTTTAGTTAATGCATTTGCCTATCTACTAAAAAAAATATATTACTGCAGCTTTAACATTAGATAAAATGAAATCTCACCATTTACTAAAAGTTGACAACATAACATGATGTAACATAATTATTTCCTATTGGAGTTGAATTAACATGCTTGATTACAGACATTCAGAAATGTCTTTAAACGTTTGCGGACAGCAGAAACATTTTTAATTTAATTCAAAATAAATAATAATTAAAAAATAAAAATATAAAGATTAAGAATGTTTCTTTTATTTACAAAATATGTGTGAAAAATTAAAAACAATAACACAAGAGAATACATTTTAAAAAATCTTGTGAATTTAAACTTTTGATTTTTCCAAATTCAATCAAATTTTAATTTTTTAATTTAAATTTTTCATTCTCATTAGGACAAAACATTTTGAAAATAGTAAACATTCCATTTTATCTGTTAGCTGTAATAACTTTATAACTTTCCACTCATTGTTTTAACGAAACAGAAAACTGCATTCTAATTTAAACTGAATGTGCGATTTAATTGAATATTTTGTCATATATACTTAATAAATATATAATAAACTTATACTAACATAATATATATTAGTGTAAGTATATATATACTTATACAAATATAATATATAAATAACTTATATACTGACGTATATTTTGAGAAATGCGTTTGTGAAAATAGTGACATTACATTTTTACTTTTGTTGTTTGTGAGCACGATTTCAAAAGTTTCAATTCAAAATTTATAATAGTTATAAAAACATAAAAAGTTATAAAAGTTATAAAAACAATATGTATAACAAATATATTTGTTATACATATTGTTTATTGAAACTTTTTTTTTTAATAACTTTTAGTTTTGTTTAACTTTTTTAATAAATAGACTTTAATACAAGCTTAACCAATTCGAAGATAACAGTGATGAAGTTTTATATTTATAAACATTATGCTAGATATTTAATTTTTAACTTGGGAATTTTCATTGAAGTGTTGCAAGTTTTGATATTTTATTACATGGACTTTTATGCAATTTAAAGTAAAAAATTCTAGTTAAGCGAAGTTTTTTGTCAAATGGACCCTAACAAACTGTATGAGTTGGCAAATGGTTCATTTAATCATACCAGGGAACGATTAAGCATATAACATGATAAAGTTCATGGAATTTAAAAAAAAAAACATGCTGAATTTAGCTTTCAAATAAAAGAAAAAAATCAATTTTAATTTGAACTTATGCCGCATTAATTTAAATCAAAGTACACCACGCTTAAATTATGCATGATATAATTTATTACAAATGTAACTTCTTTATTTATAATTATCAAATACTACTGTTTAAACATATTTTGGCTTCAGAAAAAAATTTTTACAAAAAAATATTTTCTTTAATCAACTTATAATTTTCTCCCTCAAAAGTTCTTTAGACGAGCGCGGTTTTTTACTCTCGTAATGAAATTAGTGTGCACTATTTATCGCTCCCAGAAGGTCATTTACGGGAGTGTTTCACGTGTGTGGAGCAATCGCTCCCGCTTCATGACAAGGCCTGTATATGTATACACACACACAAATATATTACAAATATTGCATCTTATTTAAATTTAATTATAAAATACTTGAAATTAAAATAAATAACCTACTGATTCAGTGGGCCCTGATTTATTTTTTATCCGAATAATTGCATTTGCAATTGACATTGCCTCAATCATGAAAGTTGTCGTACAGTAGCTAGAAAACAAAAAATAAATTCAGAATAGAGGCAGCAAGTTTAAACTTTGATAATAATTCTAGATTCAAAAATATGTAATGAACCTAAAAAAAAATAGTTTTATCAAACATTTTTTTTAATTTACCTATTTTCTAGGTAATTAAAAATGAAGATTCTTTTAATAAATTAAAACTTCTGAAGAAACTAAATGATGTTTTTTTTTAATAATAGTTAATTTCATGAGCAAAATGAAAAGCATAGAAAGTGGATCTTTGAAACTTTTGTTACAAAGATTTTTAAAACTTTACTTTCAAAGACCTTTAAAAATTTTGTTGAATTATAGTCCACCCCCCTTGTCCGCCTCATTATAGTTACTGATAAATACACACACCATTTTTCAGTAAAACTTATAAATAAAACTTAAAAAATTTATTGCAATTATAACAGGGCGCAACAAATTGTTATTTTTTTATTGAACATTGACACTTGTACCTTTATTTATTGGCAAACGCCTAATTTAAGAGATATATGTCAAATAAAGAGTTTTTATTTAACTAGAAAAAAAATTATTTTCAAATAATTTTTTTTCTAGTTAATAAGTTATTAGATATATTAAAAATGATGATTGAATTTAATCAATTTTAATTTTTTCAAAATAATTTTTTCACATTTGCAAAGTGCACACAAATTAATGATAATTAATTTGCAATGACCTAATGATTGTAAACTGTTATCCATTGACTCTAAATAGTAAATTTTTCTCAATTTAGTTCGCAAAATTTATTTACTAATAAAAAAACAAATAAACTTGAAAAAATTAAAATAAAAGGAACTAAAAATAAAATAAAAGTTGTTTTGAAATTTTTCTTTTTAAAGTAATAGCAAATACATTCATTTTAAGTAAATTTTTGAATGCTTCTGTTAACGCATGCAAAAAAAAATGCTAAAACACAACTACTTTCTTCAATAGTGTACTTTGTTATTTTATCTAATAGTAATGCTATTAAAGAAAGTAAACATGTGCATGGTTTCTTTTAAAGTCTTTAAAATGTGTTTTATATTTTAGTAACTAACTGTATTTTATTATAAATATATGTTTTTTAAAACAACTTATTATTAATAAATAAAAAACTATCAATCATCAACCACATAAATATTTTGAAAGAAATTGCTGAAGTAATGCTTTGTTTAAAAAAAGTGAACGCTAACATTTGCATAACCAAATGTAAAGAAATGTGGTGTTCATTTTACTGTTTTTTTTTGTCTACATTTTATTGTCGTTGATTTGTCGCGTCCTGTATAAGACTAATACCCTTCTGGCTTAGTGCAAATAAAAAATGCAAAGTGATTTTTCATCCCAATCTGCTGTTTCCATTTGACCATGCATAGCAATATAAAATTTTTAGATATAAAAAATAATTATCAGCAAATGTCTCGCAAATACCCATATTTTTTACAAAAACTTAAACCGAAAAAAATAAAGTATTTATTAACTTGGACTTTAATATTAATAGAGTATTTCAGCTATTATCCTCTGAAATGTCTATCATTGGAATGTGAGCAAAAAAATATGAAATATGAAAGTACTCATTATCATTATACCTCATTAAAGCTAAAACACCAAGAGCAGCTAGTCCAAGAACCCATCCTGTTTGTGCAAAAGCTTTTGGAAGAGTCAATGCACCAGCACCAACAATTAAATTGAAAACATAAACAAAAGCAATCTAAAGAATTTTAAAAAAATTATTAGTAAATACACTTTTTTCTGAAAAAATCTACTGTCTAAGCTTTTCAAATGTCTTGTGCTTTCTACAAATTTTCTTGCATGGTTAGAAACAATGTAAGCAACAATGGAGAAATTTCTAGACATTTGACAACAAAGATAAATATAACAAACAAACTAACGATCTAATGCTTATAAACATTTAAATTCATTTAGTAATTATAAAATTATTTAATAATTATAAAAATCTAACTAATTGCAATTGTTTTAAGATTTTATTCAGCAACTGTTAAAAATACACGAAGCTATTTATATTTTATTTTATTTTTTTATGTTGATTTAGGTGCCCCAAGAAGTCCTTACGGTCTTATCACAGAGCACCATGGAAGAGCATTTAATAGGAAATTCACGCCTCCTTCCCAACCAATGTAACTTGCCCTGAGGTGGGGTTTGAACCACAGATCTTACGTTTCTTAGGCAAGTGCAACGTACATTGCTTGTTTAGATGAGCACTCTGACATCACACTGAAATAGCCTGCTGCCGGGGGCTTCAGTACATACATCAACTGACAAATAGCCTAACTCACAGTGGAGTGCTGTTACATCAACTGAGGGTTTGACATGGGGTAGCAATCTTTTCTTTCATTATTCTTTATTTTTTTTCTTCTTTTTTCTAAAAACCCGGTATGCTATATATATATATATATATATATATATATATATATATATATATATATATATATATATATATATATATATATATATATGTATATATATATATATATATATATATATATATATATATATATATATATATGTATATATATATATATATATATATATATATATATATATATATATATATATATATATATATATATATATATATATATATATATATATAGGTACACGGAAATAGCAATTTACGGAACCGAACTACGTGCTAAAATTCTATGACTTGTTTTTTTGACTTTTTTTTAGGTAGTGTAAGGCAAACTTATTTTTAAGGAGTTTCTTTTTAGAAACATATATACACATAGTATATTTTTGGAAAGAAGAAAAGTTAAACTGTTTTTTTATAAGACTTTTATGTATGGTTACTGGACTTTTATGTATGGTTACTGAATTTTTATACAGATTATTTTGCTTCTGAAAAATAGGTTGATGTTCTTACATGAATTTGTAGTCAAAGAAATGTTAAGCCCACTTTTTTTTCTGCTACATGCATTTTTTATGCACATGCTAAATTTCACCGAAAAAGAAATAGGAGCAAATAGTTTAATTAGTGTTATTTTAAGTATAACACTTTTTTTAGGTAGACCTAGGCAAACGTTTTTTTGTGGTAATTCTTTTTAGGAACATATATAAATTTAAACTATTTTTTAAAAGAAAAAAAGGTTAAGCTTGATTTTTATATGTTTGTTATGTATGGTTACAATACTTTTTAATAGACTATTTTACTGATAACTTTGCATGAAAATTTGGTTGATGTTCTTACATTAATTTTTAATCGAAGAAATGTTGAGCCCCCTTTTTTTATTATTAAAAATGTTTTCTACGTGCATTTTAACAAAAAATAAATAGGAGCATATTGTTTAATAAGCATAGAAATTTTGGTACCTAAATTCTGTTTTTCTGTTATTTTTTTTGGCAAGCCATATATGGAGGCAGATTGGGTGAAGGGGGGTCAGTTTTATAAATTTTTTATTATTAGATTTATATTAAAATGATAAAAAAAAAAAAAAATTTTGGATTCTTCAACAGGTGGTAAGTTTAATCTTTTTTTTCAAAATACTATTATTAAAAACTATTTCGACAAAAAAAAAAACAATATTGATAAATGTAAAACAATATTGATAAATGTAATCTTTTTCTAATTGATAATAATATAAAGATTAATGTTTAATATTATTATATTTTATCATTTTTGGATTGCATACTTCTTTATCTTTGGATTATTGTTTAAATCTTTATACAAGCATGCCTAATTTTTATTTATTTTTTAGATCATAGCACACTATTTGTGGATTTTTTTAAATTATAGCACACTATTTGTGGATTTTTTTGCAATTTCGTAAGTACAAATCAGGTAATTTTGGGGTTTATTCATAAAAAAATCATGTTATTCATTAAATACAAAGATAGAGTAATATACAGTAAGTAAATGTTAATAGACAATTAAAATTATATTAAAGTACTTTAAAAACTTTAAAAAAAATTTTTACTTTTCGTGTATTACTTTATCTTTGTTTATTGTTTACATAATTATATAAACATTCCTAGTGTTAGCTTGTTGTTTAAAAGTATTTCAAAATGTTTTGTGTAATTGTTCAATTTTTTTGTTATCTTTAGTCTAATCTACACAGCCTACCACTGGTAAGTCTGTATAGCATAACCTTGGTAATGATAATAGATTTAATACTAATTTCAAATTGCAATATTTATTTTTTTATTACAAATTTTTGACTTATCAGCATCGCCATCTGGAACAAGTAGTAAGTTTAACAATTATTAATTTTTAATATGTATGCATTTCTTAATAATGGCAAATTAATTTTTTATCAAAACTTTTTAACCTTGATTTCATATGCAACTGCATATGACGATGTTCAGATATTTGAATAATGAATAATGAATATGTTCAGATATTTTTGATATAATTTCTTTCTATGTTGTTGGATCAAAATTGATCAAAAATAAAAATCCAATTAGTTGCAAAGCTAAATGACTGAGTGGTAAGTTAAAAAATATTTTTATACTCCAAAAAACTTGTTCATATGTTCGTATGTATTTCACATCAAATGCAATATTTACATTTTATTACTTCTTTTTTAATCTACATCGGCTGCAACTGGTATGTTGAAAAACTACTTTTTTTCTATATGTTTATGCATTTTTCAACAATTGCAATATTTATTTCTAATTAAAACTTTGTTAAGCTTTAGTCGTATCTGCAGCTGCTACAAGCAGCAAGTTTAAAAGCTATTATTTTCTAATATGTGTATGCATAATGCATTTGTAAAACTATTATTTTAAATATGAGTATGTCTTTCTTATCAAATGCAATATCAAGTAAAATTAAATTTTATTACAAGTTTTTTACTTTAAGTTTCACTACCTTCACAACCCGTACAACCTTCTACTGGTAAATTTATGATTTAGAAATGTTTCAGAATGATTATTGAATTCATAATATTTCTATTTATATGCACTTTTTAATACATTTGTATTATGTTATCCTTAAAAGTGGTATAGAAGGAGAATCAATACCAGTACTTAAATTTTCATTGTATAAACATTTGTGAAGCTATCGTTATTTTATAAATTGTTTATTTTATTTATTCAACCAATTACTTTTTTTTCTAAAGGGGCAGAAGGGGGGCGGCATACACCCTCTTCCATAAAAGCAATTTATACATCACTAGTTACTATTTTTTAAAGTATTGAAATATATTTTCTATTTTTTATAATAGATTTAATCATTTTAATAAAGATTGTAATATTTAAAAGAGCGAAATTATGATAGGGTGTGTTAAACCTTCACCACAACCTAACACCCAACTTTGCGATAGACCTGTAATATTTTCTAATTATGTGGAATAAATAAAAAACAACTTGTTGTATATAAATATTACCAATTTCATGAAAAAAAAAACTATTATGAAAAAATAGTGTGTTTTTGTGAGATGTAGGTGGTGGATAAGCACCCGCTCCGGATCCCTTGATGCGCCCTTTACCTATAAACTAGTTTAACATAATAGTCCATTTTTACATCTATCTTTTGATGCCACCTTACAGATATTTGAATAAGAATTGGCAAAGTTATAACAATTTATGTAGAAGAAAAAATTTTTTTGACCAGTTATATCAAGAAATCCATATGTCAAAAATTTGCTACTAAAAACGCTATAACTTTTTATAGATTATTTCGATTTTCATAATTTTTTCACCATTAAAATACCATTAAAAATTTTTAAAACTCAGTCCACGTACCTAATATATATAATCTTGCATGGTCGTATATATATATATACTCTTGCACGATATACTCTATATACATATATATACTCTTTACAATGTGCTTTAAGACCTTGTCTGAAATTGATAGGGTTGTTATTTGTTAATATTGGAATGTCAACAATATTGCAATAATTGTTAGCAGTAAATAACCAAGTTTGTTTGAGTTAAAACCCACAAGGCCTAAGCTGTTACAGAAGTTTAAAGATTAGCTGTTATATTATTTAAGTAAAAATATATTGACTGATTGATTAGTAAATTTTCTACTTTTTGTTAATACTGTATCTACATATGTTTTGACTACTGAAATCCCCTTTCTTGTTTTACATATGCAAAACGAGAGTAAACGAAAAAAATGCTCATTAACTCTAGAAATATTATTTTCATGTATTTTTTTACATACCTCTAAAATGTTATTGCTGTTAACAGCAGTTAGTAGGTAAAATTACTTTTTAACAACATGTCGTTTAAAAGTAATTTTAGTTACTAATGCGCGATTTGTATGACAAACATTATATTCATTATATAAAATAGTACCTGCCAAGAATAATATTGAACATCTTCAGAAATCTTTAGATTTGACATGCTATTCTAACGAGTTTATATACGTCTTTATTTCATATTTATTATTCAGACTTTTTTTAAATCGCTTGGTTCGTTAGCTTTGATTTATTTTTTTAATTGATTTGAATATTAAGGTCCGGAAACAAAGGCCGTTTTACTTTTTTGTTGTTGTTTATCATCTCTAGACTACATTATTTACAGATTTCAATATATTCTCATTATTAGTTTTAAATATTTTAAGTACATTTTATTTGTCTTTTTTTTTCGCCCATGATTTGTTTTAAATGTTTATTGACGTTTATAAGAAAATTTTATAAGAACTTTTTATCCAATGGTGTCCGATTCGCTCGTTTTTGTATATTTTAGTGAACGGGATTTATGGGATATCGAGAGTAATTTTAACAATCCATTCATATATTTCTAAAAAAAAGTTATTTTAAGGATATTTACAAATAATAATGCTACTAATCTTTAATAAACACCTTAAATTTGTTAATCTTCTATATATATATGTGACGCATTTAATCAAAATCGTCATTAAGTCGCCACATATTAAACAGTGATTCTAAGTAATTTCTTTTTTGAATTTGTGTTTTTGCTAAAAATAGTGACAAAAATACAAAAAAATTATGAGTCAAAATGTTTTACAAAATTAAAGCAGGACATTAGAACCTATAATTTTTGTTAGTAAAGTCTTTCAAACGTTTTGTTTATAAAGTTTCTAAAAACGTTTTATTTTATGCAGTGTTACGATTTTTTTTTTTTTTTTTTTTTTTTTTTCAATTTACGGTATAGATTGATGATAAGACAAATTATGTCTCATATTATTTGTATTATGTTTTACGATGAATAACTTTATATGGCAAGAAAAAATCTTTAAAAAACCGATTACTCAAAACATTTACAGTGGAGGACGTCGTTTAAGCTTTGTTTTTGATGAAAATATGATAAGTATAACTTCAATAAATTATTTTTAAAATGTAGTTAAACATTACTTAATAAGCATATTTTTTTATTTCTTGTATATTTTTATAAAAAAAAAAAAAGCAACTTAAATAATGGACTTTGTTATATTTTTAATTTTTCTAATTATTCTATTGTCAGAAATTAACCTTTTAGGTTTGATTTTGGAACATCCCAAATATTTTTATAGATTCTATTTAAGAAACCTTTTTTTTTTTTTTTTTTTTTTCTATGTTGATTTAGGTGCCCCAAGAAGTCCTTACGGTCTTATCACAGAGCACCGCGGAAGAGCATTTAATAGGAAGTTCACGCCTCCTTCCTAACCGATGTCGCAAAACTTGCCCAGAGGTGGGTTTGAGGCGCGGATCTTACGTTCCTGAGGCAAGTGCGCTACCACTGCGCCACGGCTGCTTAAACCTTTAGGTTACACAATACTGTAAAAATTAAAATCATGCAGTTGGCACATTTTTAGAAATGGCATTTAAAGGGGGCGGACCTATGAAATTGTCATGTTCAAATGAAGAAACTTCCAGAAACGCTGCAAACCTTAAATTTTTATATACTAATACTAATATCAAATAATGATGCTCTGCCGAAAAAAAAAATTATTTCGGGAACATAGAAAATACAACAATTTCGAGGCACGGACCCCAAACATGGCAAATATAAAAATTTGAAGTTTTTTTTTGTATAATCTTATAGTGAATGAAATTTTATTCAAAGAATTTAAAAGATATACATTACAGTTCAAAAGTTATGACCAAAAAACGTTATAGTCCCTCTCCCCCTTCCAAAAAAATGAGGAGTTTTTGTATTTTACATGACCATAACTTCTAAAGTACATAAGATTTTTTTTAAAAACTTAAAATTTTATAATGAATTTCGTTTTCGTTTGAGAAATTACAAAAAAAATTTTCAAATGCTTATGTTCCCCTCTCAATCAGAGCAGGTAGCCTCAAATTTTGGGATTTTTTTGTTCTCAAACTTTAATCACAGTTATTTTTTGGACACATTTATCTTTTTATAACCATATGATACCATGTGATTATATGATGTATGCAAAAGATTTTAGTCTTCAAAATGCCTGAATATCATAAGCCCCTTCATTGTTAATAAACATTTTTTGTTTAGCTTCACTTTTTTGGACACATTTGTCTTTTTGACACTAGTACTTTTATATAATAGAGTATAGTATATGGTATAAAATTAGGTTAACTTCATTAAATACCATTTATTAGTTGTTTATATTTATTTAAACGTAATGATGATTAATCAGAACTAAACAAAGTTTGCAATTGCTAATTAAATTTTTATTTAGTTAAAATTTATTTATAAATTTACTCTTGATACTTTAGTAACTATTAAATTTACAGATAGAGTTTTTTAACATCGATATTATTTAATATCGAAAAAAGGAAGGAGATTTAAGTTTAAAAGATCTCATAAGTTAAACAGACTTTTGATCTGTGCTTGTAGCTTTACTAAAAACACTTAGTGTATTCCAGCTACAGAAAGTTTGGAAATGCTTGTTGTAAAGCATTGCCATGATAAATATAATATTAAGGTTATGAATATATATATATATATATATATATATATATATATATATATATATATATATATATATATATATATATATATATATATATATATATATATATATATATATATATATATATATATATATATATATATATATATATATATATATATATATATATATAAGTTTTTTAATGTATTTATCATGTTTGAAGTAAAAAAATCTATTGAAATATTGTAAATTACAAAATTAATTTTTTTAGCAGTCTACCACTTTAAATTCTTTTTATTGAAGCTGAACAAAAATGTTTATTACAGTAAAGGAACTTATGGTATTCATGCATTTTGAAGACTAAAATCTTTTGTATACATAGTCATATAATCACATGGTATCATATGGTTATAAAAAGATAAATGTGTCCAAAAAATAGCTGTGATTAAAGTTTGAGAACAAAAAAATCCCAAAATTTGAGGCCACCTGCTCTGATTGAGAGGGGGACATGTGCATTTGAAAAATATTTTTGTAATTTCTTAAACCAAATTGAAATACATTATGAAATTTTAAGTTTTTAAAAAAAATCTTATGTACTTTAGAAGTTATGGTCATGTAAAATACAAAAACTGCTTATTTTTTTGGAAGGGGGAGGGGGAATATAACGTTTTTTGGTCATAACTTTTGAACTGTAATGTATATCTTTTTAAATTTTAAATTCTTTGAATAAAATTTCATTCACTATAAGATTATACAAAAAAAATTCAATTTTTTTTATATGCCATGTTTGGGGTCCGTGCCTCGAAATTGTTGTATTTTCTATGTTCCCGAAATAATTTTAAACACGACTGGTCGTGTTTAGAGGAAGCTTATAAGCTTCCTTTTAACATGACCAGTCATTTGTCAGTCATTTAATCGCAAAGAAGTTCGGTCCTTGACAGCCTTGATCAATTAAGAAGTTCAAACTGATCTCTTTAAACCATTTTTGGAGCAGTTGTTTAAAGATGATCAGATCAGATTTAAAAATGCTGTAGTTGTAGCACTTCTTAATTCATTAAAGCTGTCAAGAGCCATACTTCTCGGAATCCAGTAAAGTCAATGAGAAATAAAGCTAAAGAGCTCTTAGTGACTCAACGCGCCATCAAAAACGTGGTCATAAAGGATCTTAAGGCTAAGTCAAGAGATTAAGAAACATCTGATTTCCCCAAGTGGGATTGATGAAACCAAACAAGTGTCTAAGGAAAAAGATTTAAAAGATCAAAGAAAATTCTGGCCCTTTTGAAGAAGAGACCAATGACCATCCTCTTTTCAGATGAGAAATTGTTTACTGTTGATTCTGTGTCAAACAGTATAACTATTTGTTTTATTAGTCATCAACCAGTTCATGCAGTCTAAGCATGTAAAATATACATTCAAGACCAAACATACGGCTTCAGTTATGATGTATGACCTAGTTTCATTTGATGGTCTCAAAATGCCTTTAATGTTAATTAAATCTGTTCAGAAAGTCAACACTAATGAGTACATTTTTTTTTTTTTTTTTTTTTGTTTAGGTGCTCCAAGAAGTCCTTACGGTCTTATCACAGTGTGCTATCCATTTAACACAAAACCTTCAACCACGTTAGACAAACGTAGTGAACATTCAAGCGCGTTCTATGAATGTTCTGTAAAACTGTGTATAAACAGTTAAAATTCAACGTTCAATAACGTTCCCTCAACGTTCTTTTAGCTTTGCGTAACGCTCGCTGCAAATGTTACATGAACCAATTTTTGTGAACTCCAATTTACAGTTCTTGAACGTTCGATGCCAACGTTCAAATAACAAATAGCGAACGTTTACTTAATGTTCACTGCAAACGTTCTTTTAATAGCTCTTGAACGTCCACTTCAAATACGCAATAAAATTTTTGTTTTGTTTTGTATAATAAAAAAATATAAAAATTTTTAAGTTAAATAATTATTTTAAATTTTTTAATTTTAAAAAATAAAATAAAATGAAATAATGTAAATGCACTTTTTTTAAAGACCTAATAATGTATATTTTCAGCACTTGAAAATTATTTTTATTACCAAAAGATAGCGGCAAATCTATAATTAAAGAATCCCTGAAAAAAAATGGAGTTTTTAACAAACTTCAGCTTTAACACAATAATAACAAACAAAATGAGTGAGATTATGGGTTTTGCAGTGTTAAAGGTCAGTCCTACCCTAAAAAACACGTGGATAAGATGGATCAGAAACTTTTATACATTACCATCAAAAAATGTTTCATAACATCTTTCTTCATTTTTTTTAAATGTCCAGTTTTGAAGCATTCTGCCCCACTGTGCGTCGCATGACGAAAGTTCTGTAAAGTACTTTGCAACAAGTTGAAAATTTATATTTAAGATATTTAGCATACACATTAAATTAGAAATTATGCCTAAGTTGAAATAAATTATTATCTATTATGTTTTACACACACGCACACAAACACACACACACACACACGCACATATATATATATATAATTTCATTCGGTATAAAAAATTTTAAAAATATGTTTAAATATATGTGGAATAATGGACTTACCATGGTTCGTATAATAAGGGTAATGGTAAGTTTACACTCACCATATCTCTACTTATTATTTATTTAGACGTTTTATTTCAGTAATTTTAAGTAAATAGCAGATAATAAGAATGTTTAAAATCTTTGTTTTAAGTTAACAGTTAATGTTCAATACCTTATAACTTCTTATAGTAAAATTGTGAACTTCTGTAAAAAAAAAACAG